TGTCGTGTCATTCACCACCCATTAAGCCCGTCATAGCAACCTATACCCACCATTTCGTCTGCCAGTAAGTTCACGCAGATGTATTTGTGTCTTTTATCCCAACAAAAGCATCGTCATCATCATCATCGATATCATACATTCGTGGGCATCATCAATCTTGGTAGCAAAGTTTGCATCTCGACTCTGTATGCTTCCTCTCTCGCAAATCTAAGAGTGTGGGGATGGTTTAGCTTCAAAAATGAAAAGATTTGTTCCTCTGCCTGTGGATTTGATTTTCAGGATTATTATGGTGTGTCTTTTTTTCTCAAAGCGGGCATTTAGACTGGTTCATGTATTGCTCCTCCAGCTGTTCCTGATAGCTTGAATGGATGATTCAAGCCCGTACACGGGCTGCATCTGCATATGTTAGTTTTGCACTATGTCTTGGAGGCATGCGTAACTAGCATACCGACTCGTGCCGTTGTTCCATATTGCGTTGTCTACAGCGTATCGTATCTCGGCACCACGCTTGCCTCGAGAGGCATTCGCTTCTCGAATTTCGACGCGTCAAGAGATTCCACAGCGGCAAGGCCTCAAACGCCGACCACCGAGCGGCGGTTGGGCTCACTCGGAGGATCGGAAGATCGGAGAGTCAGCTGCCCAATCATCCCATCAAAGTCACCCATCAGAAGAAGTCAACGACCGGAGAATGAATTAATCGATCCGCCGCTTCAAGGGTCGTTTTTTGACAAGCTTCTCTCGTCATGGTTACCACGAATAGCTCGCACTTCGTGTCAATCAATCGAAGGAAAATGCTGTCCCCGCCCTGAGAGCGGATCAGGACTGCGGGGGTCCAAAGTGAGATGAAATGAGAGGATGAATCATCATCCGATGACGACCGATGCAGCGAGTCGATAGATGCTACGGCAACGATTACAGTTCGAAATTCGAAATGATCCGATGCGGTCAACTCTGAGCCTCAACGCAGTCGCACGCCGGAAAATATTCCCCGAGGGGCGCAAAGGGTCCTTGCTCCTCTGACGAGCACGAACGGCCCCAACGACTCATAGTCTCATGGAGTCACTCATGACCGCTCTGATCTGATAATGCGCCATCGATGCTGAGGCGTCGGAATCATTCGACATCACTCAGACGGCTATAGCGATTGTTGATGTTGTTCACGTTCCCGTGAATGCGGTTGGCAATGGCCATGACAATGGACAATCGTTTCGACGACTTTCGCGCATCATGAGCCCGGCTGCTCGAGAGCAACGTCTGCCGCCTGTAATTCCGCCCGCCTACTAATTGACATTTTGCATAGAAGCTGAACTTATCCTGTTTGCGTCATCACTGAAATGATCATTGATACCCTCCTTGGACCTCCATCTCTTTGTGTCGATTATCACCGAGAGATGATTGGAGTTGTCCGAGTCTACATGGCTCTCGCCCATCTTGGCTCCGTATGAGAGCGGGTCTCAGATCATGATCTCTCATGTCTTACGAACCGTCATCTTTCAGGATGAGTTACTCGCCAAAAAACTCATGAGGAGTGAAACGGGCTGCCGTGCTGATAACGATTGTGCCTGTTCCAGCCATTCTGTCGCTTGTCTCAGGGTATTTTTTTCCGTAAGGTCGTCGGAGGTGTGGGTGCTTGTCCCTTTTCTCAGGTGTGTGTTTTTGTAACACAATGTAAACGGTAGTTCTCACCGTAATTATTCCCCGCATTTGCTATGTAAAATATTGATGATGATAACATCATGTCGTCAATAATATAGTACTAGATCAATATGTATCTTCTTTTGTTACTTTCGGTCGTCTTCCTCATCTTCATTGCCTCCTAATTACGGGTTTGGGTGATACAGTAATCGTTGCCACGTTCCATCGATATTTTTGAGTGCTCATCACTCATCTCATTATTATTGTTTCATCGTCGTGATTCTCCGTATAGTACTATTCTCCTCATTATTGTTATCCTTGCTCACATATCCATGACGCTGAGAAGGATTGACTTATTGATTGTTCAATCGATCGACTGATGAAACAATCAAGCGATCGACCACTCAATTGAATCTAAAATGTCAGTGTCGTGCGGACCATTCGAAGTAATCGATACTCGTTTGCATTAAATCCTTTCGCTCTCGGAAGATGATTTGAAAGTTTCCTCCAAGCCAGCCTAACGTTTAATTACAAGGAATGAACTCAATTGACACAAACGACAGCAAAACACGACTACGAAAGATCCAGTACAAGAATCGAGCGCCCGCTTTCCGTGGCTTTGTAGCAGCTCTTTGGTCTCTTGAAATAAACACTGCCGAGCATTCGGCGGCGGAATTCTGTGAGCGTCTCATGGAAGACGCAATTATTTGAATCTAGTTCATTCGCTTCTAGTTTCTTCGTTTCTCCGACGCTTCATTCCTTCCCTATGTCGTTCTACATAGATTATGTCGCGATCTGCGAGCGATTATCTCCAGAGCCCGGGAATACGTCGACCGTTTGGATTCTTTCAGGGAACGTTTTCGATGAGAATGCGTCTTGCAGAATGTAAGTTTGGTTAGCGCTATCGTGACGATGCCTTTGTCGTACATTAACTCTGCCTGATTTTCTCGCCGGTGTTGCTCAAATCAAATTTGTGTGCTCGCTAGCTATGATGGTAGAAAAAATGAGTGGAATGAGTCGTAGCAACGATAGTGTAACAGTCATATATATATTTATAAATTTATATTAATGTATATATATATATTCTCGTACCCGGTAATATGTATATGTCTGTAAACGTTACGCCAAGTATTCAACTTGAATAAGAACTAGTTTTAGAAAATTATAACCGTAATAGCCATTGTATCAAGAGGGACAGCATAATTCGTCGCTTCGCTTACTAGGTTTAAACTCTTCCATTTGTTTTGCAATCTAAATTCGTCGACGATTTTGTTGTTCGCAACGATTCTTCGAGCGAATCCGACTGATAGCAGACTTTGTCTATTCAATCCACTCGTGTTTGAGCTCTTGCTGTCATCGTTGTTGTAGGATAGCTGACCGTTTTCTGCGCATTGTTTGTTGTGGTTACATGTAATTCTCAGTGTTGCTGTCATTGATCTCGCGGTGACTTCAAGAGTGCTCGTTGTTTTCGCTTCTGATGTTTTTCCTGACAGTAAGGTTTTGATGTCGGCTGGTCGGTTGTCATTTGTTGTTCCCGTTACTCATGGGACCACGGTTCCATGTAGTGCTGTTTCTCGATAAATTTCTTCGTACCTCGACAAAATGACTCGTTCTCGCGTCAAAGTTCATGACTAGAACTTGCATTATCTGCGTCTGGAGAAACTTTCCAGACATCGGCGCAAGAATTGACTTGGCTCTCCGAAGTACATCCAATAATACCCATTGTATGAATCCGGTGATAGATGAGCCATATATTCTCTGTGGGTGCCAGGGAGGAATGAGGGCAAATGCACAATCTGTCAACAGATGTCAATCTTATGGGGGATAACGGACATCAAACTGACGATGTTCTGTATTGTTCTTGTTGATTCTGTCGTTGGAAATGCTTGAGAGACATGAATGACTCCTGCGTTTCTGTGAGGTACTGAGTGGCGAAGGGAACAAGCTTTGAGCAGAAGAAGCTTAGACCTCGGATGTTTGATGGACCGACTCGGTCGCGACCGGCGCCACCATCTCGCAGCGCTCGCGACATAACGCAAGCGGATTCACTCGATCGCCAACCAGAATTTTGTTCGTCTCGCTCAATGGAGATCGGATGGCCGGCGAAGGCAAACTGGGTGGCGCCGGAAGTCTCAGTACTGGTGTCAATGGCGAGCCCGCGGAAGCCTAGGTTACTGGCTCGTTGCTTAATCGACTAATTTGGCGACTGCGATAGCGGTTTTGAAAGCCGCGGCGATCTCCTTGTTAGCAGAATGTCCTAAATTCTCTTCCAGCTCTCTTCCCAAAGATGAAATTCATACAGAGACAAGATCTTGATTGCGTTGACTTGAGCTCGATAGAGGTGGATGTAGGGTAGGTAAGAATGCAAAATCTAACCAGGGATGACTTCCCAAGTTTCGCTCTATCTGACTTATTCCAGTGAGCTGGGTTCCAGCTGCCTAACGCGGTAGTTCTCGCTCGTAGTTGACGCATATTCGTCTCAAAAGACACGCATTGAAGACTTGTTTTATTCGGTGCGTCTGTGTGATCTATCCAACTTCAAGTCTGTCAGAGAAATTCGCTTGTCTAGAAAGAGGTCCGCGGCGGTGCAGGGAGGTCTCTTTGAGAAATATTGATTGATTCAGAGATCATACGAATAATGCGCGTCGAGCATTGAATGAAGGGAGAGAGAGAGTGAGAGTAGGAAACCTGATAGATGCGGATACAAGGAGGCAATTCGTCGAGGTTATACCATCGATACTAGAAAGATAAGTTTGTTTGTTGTTTGAATAGGTGTATCTTATAACATTCGTCTATCGGGCTTCTGTTTTCTTGTTTGTTGGTTTAGTTTGTTACCTTGTTGCCTGACTGACATTCTGACTTGTCGTTTCTGCTGTGAGCAATGCGTTTTATTGCAAAACGATGAGAGAACGAGGAAAAGGTGTGAGCAAGAATCGGCATAGATGATCCTTGAATAACACCTCCGTCCAATTAGGCACTTGGCTTCTAACTGGGGTTTTGTCTTGTTTGTCATTCTGTTTGTTTGTTTTTCTTCCCTCTTGTTGGTCTCCACGTCTGTTCATTCTGCTTGCTCGCTCGCTCGCCTGCGTGCCGCTCGTCGACCCACCTAACACACCATGGGCGGGAATCCCAACATAAGAGTTCCTTCGTTCAGGGTGGGCAATAGTGCCCGGTACAATTTTCGGATAGGAGTCCTCGAGGTGGAAGCGTGTCTGGCTGGATTGCCAGCCGACGGGCTGGTGGATGGACGACGGAGCGAGCGAGCGAGCGAATAAGCGCACGGACGAGAAGTCAATTACACGTGGAGGAACAATTTGCATCCATTTTCCCATGCAGCACTTTCCTCGTCATCATCATCATCATAGTTATATGCTGGTCTCGTGGAGTTTCGAAGGACCACCGTTTGGGGGCGTCTGACTCCCATCGGCGGGTTCGGTGAGCAAGTGATATCCTTGTGACAGAGGTGACATTACAGGACCTCCTCGGTCCGACGCAGACGATATCGAACTCGAAGAGCCCGAACTGGCGATCGATTGCGGCGACTGCGGGGACGAGATGCCAGTTTGGGCCGCGCCAGTGGTGGCAGGGGGCGACCGCGGTGCCATATGGTTCAAGCGGCCATTATTGTTCATGGCTACATTACTGTTGCAATTGTTGTTGTTGCTGCTGCTATTGCAATTATTGTTGTTGTTGTTATTGATGTTATTGTTGTTGCTAAGGCCAGCGGTGTGACGAACTGGTGGCAACGGAGGAACTTTACTATGAGCACTTGTCGTCGTAGCAGCTGCTGCGATAGAACTTGCGGGGGGCATCGCCTGTTCGACGGGTCTGTAGCCTGTCGGATAGATGACAGCCATTGGTGACTGCAATGTTGGGCTTGTCAGCGGCGAGCTGGCTTTGTCAACAAACGTCTTCGAAGCGGCGGTATGAGGCGGTGAAGTGCTTGCGCGGGACGACGCGTGTTCGTCCTGATCAGCAATAGAACTCAGCTGCTTGGGATGAGAACGGGAACTTCGGATACTGTGGAGGGAGTGGACGCTGTGTACACTACGTTTGTCTTCCATGTCTTCAAGGGTGCTTTTGAAAGCCCTCACAACTCGAAGCTGTCGTGAACGAGATCAGAGTTAGTCTCTTGTCGGTGAATGCTACTTCAATGAACCTTGTGAACTCTTCCTCTTTGCTTTTTCTTGCCTAAAAAAAACTACTGTTCCGCAGGATCAAGTCAATCAATCAATCAATCAATGACCCTCCCATTCATCATTGCTTGATCATTCGCCGAGTCATTCATTCATTGTCGGAGTCATTTGCCAATCATGAGCAATCCCCAATGCATGGATCATTTCGCTAGGCACATTCACTTCAAAAGCCTCTCGACTCCGCTAAACAGCTATGCGCTCTGCCAACAGCTTTGCTTCGACTAGCCTCTGAAAGCCGTAGCCCGCAAAAAATCTGCGAAAATCTCCAAAATATGCGAGAGAGAAAACTTTCAAAAAACAAAAGAAGAACAATCAGAACGAGACTGGGTTCACCGAGTCGATGGAGGAGTTGATTCCGATGAAGGGAACAAGTAGCCGAATTTCGGAAGGGAACTCGGCGATTTGGTGGAGGAATCAGGGGAGAGGTAGCAAACTCCGGAAGGAACTCGACGATGTGATAGAGGAATCGAAGGAGGCACGTGACGTAGGAAAATAGAGCGACTGAGAGGTGAGGAAACGAAATGGGCGAGGGGGAAGTGGATTGGGAAGATCGGGTTGAGTAGCGACCGCGACCGAATTCTCCAATTGTTGGTTTCTGTCTTTTTATGGCTCCCTCCGAGTGATTCGGTTATGGCAAAGGTGGGGAGAGTTCGCGGGCCAACTGAGTGCGCTCTCTTTGGAACCGGACGCCGACGAAGAAATACTGCCCGGCAGGGAGAGATTCACGGACCCTCCCCGCATGCCGCCCCGTCCGAACGGGGACTGATGCCGCTGGAGATTCGTGTGAGATTCTACTCACTGAATGATTCGAGGAGCCGGGCCGGAGTTCCGGTGACATTATCGACCCGGTAGCTGATCGATACACCAATGGATTCTCGATGAAGGATTCCGAACGGGTCAAATGGCCGGAGCTCGGCACATCTCAAGTCGAAAGGGATCAATCCTCAATCTCTGAGCTCTTGGAAATATTCCGAGCGTCACAGTCTCGTTCTCGCTGACCCTAGGGAATATCGCTAGAGAACATCTCTTAGGGAGAGACGAACTCATTGAAGGCGATGGACGCACCAGCAGGTGGTGCTCTCTGCGCGAGGAGACTGACGCGAAGCGCCACCTCAGGATACACGCAACTATTCCTCGGGAAACCGTCTGCGCGCTACAGAGGACTTCCGACGGGAATCGTGCCTCCCTAGATCCAGGGAATATCCGCACAATCCGGGAAGAGGTCAAGGATGCAAATCAGCACAAGAATGCATGCCTCGGAAATTCCGTGGCGAATTCAGAATATTCTGAGAAATTTCTTTCCAAGGCCTCAACCATGCATCCGGCTCGAATTTCAGGGCTCGGTTCCCCATACGAGAACGCCTCTGGGTAGCGAGCACTTGACCAAGACCGGGCTCTGGGAGGGATTAAGTCGACGGAGCAGGACCACACACGTAGTAGGAACACCACACATCGAAACAACCACCTGAACATTTGGTACGGCAACATTTATTTGATCAGGTTATCAATGACGAACAACATGAACGACAGCTAGGAACCCGTCCGCATACCTACTCAAGGAAGAGGAACGAGCCAATAACCTTTGTGACCCAGAGTAGAACGCAGTTAAGGAAACGACACCGGATTGAGTGTAAGGTCGGAAGGCGGTGATCTTGCTAAACAGGAACTACTAGAGTTACACCCTCAAACCATATGATACAGGTTGTCTGGATTGTTTTCTTATGATAGGTTCTGATGTCCCCGTCGCGTCGACTTCTCGACTTCTGTCAATTCCCCTTGGCGATATCTAGAGTCGAATGGCCGAGGAGGTGATGGAGTCGGCGTCAGCAAAGGGAATTGACTCCTGGCGTCAGAACGATGACTGCGATTTCCCTATAGATCCGAGCGAGCCTCTGGAACCGTGCTCTCCTGGGCAGATGGCGGGATTCGAGCCCTTGGAGGAAAAAACGTTTCAACGCTTACCGGCGGACCTGTGGTTCTTCCGATCGTCTTGCTCCGGAATCACAACCGATTGGGATATCCAGCGAATTGGACATGTTGAAACACGTCAAGAAAAGGAAAATGCCACGAGCAGTTAGCAAGATCACACCGTTCGAGTGAGTTCAACGCTTCACGGTTAGATGATGGATGTTCACTCCGATGATCGCGACCGCTAGGAAGCTTGAACGCTCCAAGTCAGAACTGACAATGAACAGAGGAATGGAGTTGTGGGGGGATCGAGCTGTCCCATATGTTTCCGGAAAGTGAGATGGATACTCATACGGGAACAGAGACCGTGCTCAAACGCCTAGTCCAGTCATACTTGATGCACGTCCTGAACAAACAAACCCAATGACCAGAGCGAGCGGACGTAGACAAACGCTACACAGACTTAGGCACGGGAGATCATAGCTCACACGGAAGCCGCATTCACGCTTCTCCCCGGTATATTCCCGAGACGCATAATCGACTCGTGGACACTTCAATGTTCGGAGGGACGGCCGATAATGTCCGAAGTCGGACCAAGAGAAAGAGTAAGCGGCGGAGTTTGTGGATGATTCGGGGACTCAAATTGGAGCCTAGGGAGAGCTCCGTGTAGGATATTGCGGCATGAACAATAGTGTGGTGTTCCAGAGTGGCATCGGCCCTGGGAAGCCGGTGCATATCACTGATAGCTCACGAGCTTAGCTGCGAAAACTACCATATTGAATGAGCCAGGCACAGGAATGAGGTTTATCACAGACTCGACTTGGTTGCGTTATGGTTCATGGAGTAACGTGGAAGAGCTTTGGGAGGACCCGGGGCATATCTTCGTACAAACACCCAGTCTCACATAGAGAGCATCCCACAGGATTCAGGGAGGGGGAAACACAACATAGATAATCCAGGACTTTATGCGCGAGCCGGCTGATTCATATCAGAAGGTATCATCTCCTAGATGCACAGTAATCCACGGTGAATGACAGTGTACATTTCCGCTAGATGTCAAGTTTCCTACTCGCGGTCGTTTCCTGAGCTCCGTGTTCCGAGCGCGAGAATGGACGAAAGTGTGTATCGGTCGATCATGCACGCACGACATCAAGTATCGCGTTCCTATCAACGATCGGTCATGATATCAACGGAGGCAAGAGAAAGGTTTCACAGCCACAATAAGAAGATGAGAGGGCAGGGGGAGGGAGGGTTAGCTCCAGAATGAGAGGTCGGGGTGGAAAAGCACTAGCAGAAGAGACGGAACGTCCGCAGATGTTAAGGAGATCAACTCACAGAGCGGGCTTTAGTAGAAGAGCAACGAACGGACTGACGGAAGCGGAAGTAGATTACAGAGGACAAAACGAGGAAAGAAGAATGCTCGTCATCGTCGTAGCAGCAGGAGAAGTAGTAGAGTAGTAGTAGGAGAAGTGGCAGTAGAACAGCGGTGGCAGCGGCAGATGACGACGTCGTAGAAGTCGTTGTTGCGGTAGCTGACGCACTCAGATTCGGATAGGGTCTGATACCGAGCCTTCTATGTGTGCCTTCATGATGGCATGCGCGAATTAGAGCAAATCATCGTCAGTCAGTCAGTCACTTCATTGTCGGTCAGTGAGTGCAACCATCGAACAATCAATCAGATCAATCAAGAGGTCACAACGACAACAACAACAACGGAGGAGAGAACATCGAATACGTTATTCATTTAATTAATTAGTGTGAACGATATCGTTGGGGCGGAGAAACGACAATGTCTTGAGAGACGACCATCGTGGGGAACCGCTCTGATCAGGGAGGATGTGTAAGTCCTCGGAGCAATGAGACCAGCAACTGATTTGATTCTACTCAGCCATCTTTGCCAGCGATTTACATATTGCCGAGGCGACGATAAAGAGTGATCCCGCAGTGCTTGTTTCTGATCAATGTGCAATCGATTCATCTGATCTACTGAGCAGTCATCACTCATCCTGTCGGTCAGTCGATCCATCACTCGAAGTCCATGAAATCAATCACGCTAGACCAGCTCTACTCCACACGTCCGTCCCCACGAGCAAGCATCTTCACTATAGCCACCAGAGTAACAGAAACCCGTTTGCTATTTTTCCTTCCACCGATGCAGGGATCGCGGCGAATTCCACTCAGAATCTTCGTCGTCGTCATCATCACCAACATCCTCATCGCTAGCAGCACCTCAGAACGGTATCCCAGGTGCTCGAATTTGTGGAGCGGCTCAATCATCAACGCGCCAAGGCGGGCATGTGGGGTGTCCGAGTATGGACAGACAACGAGGAATCATTCCTGAGATTGTTTTTCAAGTCCGGGAGATCCCTGTCTTCTCCGATTCATCCCGGACTGATGACGGCTCCAACCGTCGGAAACCTAACTTCTTCTCCGATCTATAATCATCTTAACCAGCCAGCAATCGATCCCAGGGCAGAACTGGGCCTCGAATCGATAGGCGATCAGTGCCGACGATCTCGTTATAAAGTATCAGCTCAACGTCCCATCCCTCCCAAGGTCAGTGGTCAACAATCGGGCAATCGGGCAATCGCGTCTTTCTTTCATCGCGCCGTTCGTTCTAGAGGAGCGACAGCATCTGACAGTCGCGGATGTCGGGCTTGTGATGCGAGTAATTCTCTCTCGAATCGTCAAGTCAATCTTTCGGTCTGAGTCGTTGTCATTGTCGTGAAAGGTACCAACAATCGGGATAGCTCAATAATTAGTTGGTAATAGTTCTGGGAGCGATAGTGGTACTTGGAAGTCGATTGATTGTGCTCGTCGACACAATGCAGAGTTAAAGATAAGACGAAAACATTCCCGAATCGTGGAAGGACAGGGACTAGACAGTGAGTGGGGAAGACAAACTGGAAGCTAAGAGGTTTCCGATCATCATAATCATCATCACCACCAGCAGCAACATGATGATCACCGTCATCATCATCGACATGATTATTAATGGATCACTGAATGAATAGACCAATGAATCAAATCAAAAACAAAACCAGCCTGGTGGACTCTGGCTCGCAAACGAAAACTCAGCGTCCCGACGTCTACGAGGAAGCGTCACCGCCACCATATATTCGCCAGAAGCGCCACCGAGGACGGGACGAAACACGTCATTGAAAAATCGACGAAAAACTTTTAGCATTTTTTGCGGGCACTTCCACTGATCAGTTTAGGTTTCCTCTTCTTTTGTTCGGTTTCTGTGCAGCGAAACTAAACTAAATGTGCAGTGGGACATCGAATCAGATCGGGATCATCATTTCCAGTTAGAGAGTAGAGATTCGAAACTTGGCTTGATTGATTAGTAATGTGGATCGATAGAGTTCACACGGATTCACAGCTGGAGATGGACACTGCATGGGTGAACGAGTGAAAATCGTGGCCACACTACGAGCCAAGGGGTGTACCGGCCGGCCCAACGATCGACCAACCCACAGACAACGGATCAGCCAATCAATCAATTAGTTAGAGTGTTGCTGGGAGTCAATCAATCAATCCATCAATCAATCAATCGATCTGTAGTTCGACGATCTGCCGATCAATCAATCGGATTGTTCGGACCAATGGATCGTTTCGTCAGTTGATGCCTCGGGCCTCAAAGAGTTATACCGTCGTTCGCGTGGGTGCACGAGAGAGTGTGAGAGATGCACGCACGATGGACACGGCCGGTACTCTGGAGTCATCTGCACGCGCCTAAGTAGTAGCTTCGTCTTCGGGAGGAGGGAGACCAAAGCGAAACCAAATAATCCACATACCTGAGTTTGGAGACGGGTGAGTCCTCGAATCCAAAGGATCTGTCCAGTCCGCTTGACATCCTGAGAAAGGGATCCGGAAGAACCATCTTCCACGAGGGACGAATGGGCGTGTTCTTCCACCGGGCCAGAGCCCCATGTGAAAGTCTATAAAAAAATATACATTAGTCTCGATCGGATGCGGCCGCGGCAACTGTCTATCCGAACCGGCAAAGCCGTAGAAGTAGCAACTGAGAACCTATAAGATCCACTAAGGAAACGATAGACTGATCTTCAGATCATTCCTTAACCCGGAGACAAGGCCTTCGAGGGTTAAAGCGCTAGAACTCAAAAAGAGTACGTTTTCGATAGAATTGGGCTCGCTGCTGCTGCTGCTGCAGACAGACTGCACTGTTCAAGATAACAACAAGAAGCTTGCTCATGGCAGAGTTTAATGTAACAGAGATGTCTTACAGCCGCATCTAGAACGAGTTTAGAAGTTTAGATTTCTGCGCAAACTCTCCGCGGATTATTAGCGAGCAGAAAGACAGGGGCAAAGAAGTGGCGGCTGACGGAACGAGGTGGTGCTTTCGATCGTCGGCTCGATTGAACTAGAACCGTCTGCTTACTACTGCGCGATGATAAACTCAATCCACTTAGCTACAAGAGTCATCATGAAGGTTTAATAAGCCACTAGTCTATCGGGTCAAGGCGACCTTGATTAAATTAACGAGATGAACGACAATCACCACATTATGTGGTGCTGGATGACGATAGATCGAGAGATAGGAACGGGAAACTCAATCCAAGTAACGCAGACGTCATTTGAAAACGAAGAAATAATAAAAACCCAACACAACGAATCTTATAGATTCTCCGTTGGTTTGTCATTGCGATTCGGAATCATCAATCAAACAACCTATGGTAATGACTAGGATCGAGTATAACTGCCATTGCTTGCACTCCCGCCGAGACGAATCCGATCCAGTTCAATCCGTCGTCGTCAATGATGAGGTAATCGACTTGACACAAGTTCACGCTTGACCGGTCGGAGGATTTCTTGTGTCGTTCGGATGAATGAGCAGTTGCTCAATCGATCTCGAAAAGTTCTCGAATCTGAGCGTACGCTCATCACAATAGGAAAGAGACTATCCGAGGTCTCAAGGTCGTGTTCGGTGGTATTTCCTTCCGGCACCGAGATCTTGACGAAATCGGGAGATTTCCTCCTCGCTTCTTCGAGCGCAGGATTCAATTACGGGTAGCTCGTGGCTCGCGAATCATCCGACTATGCTTTACGACAGAGTTCGATCGGCAAGTGCAAGGTACGCAGAAGTTTCCCATACTTCCAAATTAGGCAGTAACGAAATTGGGTGGGAAACTCCGAGCCGAGAACGGACAGCAGGAAGTGATCATGAGCCCCGTCTCCGAGCATCGGAAAATAATAAATGAAGGTTTCGAAAGAGAGCGGGGGCGAAAGATCAAAACAACGGTGGATTCCCGGATTATCGTACACTCGGACCAGGGGAAGGAACTGAAAGTTTAGCGAAGACTGAAGTCGATGGAGCGATGAATAAATGCGAGAATGATTGAGCGGTTCTCTCGTCGCCTCTTGCACATTCGCATCGGCACTCGAAGCATTCTTCATTCATTAATCATACACACGATCGATGGTGTCCTTTACGCGTTCCATGTCCCGCATAGCCTTCAGAGACCCTGTTGTGGATCGATCGATCAATCGATCGACCCACCTGTCGATCAATCGAATCACCAGTCGAACAGGCCAATGAGACCGAGGCTGTTCTTGTTTATCGACTCATAGATGGGATATTCGATTAATCTACCACTGATCAGTCGATCATATGGCGAATGGATAAAATAATTCAATCATTCATTCAACCGCTAATATAGCCAGCGGCAGCGCTAGTAAATCAGCATCATCATCAGAACAATAAAAATGGGAGCATCTGTCCGAGTCAGCCTCTACATCTCAAAATCTAAATCTCAGTCAATCAATCAGTCAGTCAGCCAGTCAGTCAATCAATCAATCAATCAATCGATCGGTCGACCAGCCAGTCAATCAATCGACCGGCCGACCAGCCCGCTAGCCGGCTGCACGATTAGGCTTCCTATTTCGAGAGGGAGATCTAAAGGCAGCGATCATTGCCAAATGGTCAATCAACCAACCATTGATCAACCAGCTTGTGTAATGCACAAAATCGCGGCATGATTCACCATATCTTCAACTGACCACGCTCGGGAATCGGTAGTTCACTGCTTTCAGACGGTCGCTGTCCTTGCTTTCACAGGTCTCTCGATGAGTTTTCTTCGCTCGGAAGGAGTGATGCCTGCGATCCGGATTCCGGCCTGCTGCCGGAGACCGTCTGATCATAAAGTTGCCCTCCATGATGTCTCTGTTCGTCTGAATGTCTCGCAACGATCGCGGCACCTGCCTCGAATGAGACCGAAGACTCGACGGCCGTGGCCCGATGACGGATCACGAGAGTTCGCAACAGGAACAAGATTTCCGTGCGCTCGATCGGGTCTCGTTGATCGGTAGCATAGGTGAAGCATCATCTATCCCCCGTTTGAGTTGATTCAGTCGAACGATTAGGTCGAATGATGGACCAGAGTTTCTTTCCCTAGTCATCATCGTCTTCATCCTCTCGGCCATCGACGGTCGGATGGCCATTCCGGAGCTCGTGAGGCTCGTTTCTCCCCGGCAGGGCTCCGCTCGGCAGCACGAAACGACGACGTGCGGTCTCACTGATTACAACGCACTCTGACTTGTGTCTCGAAGCTTTGACGGGGACTTCACTATCAACTGATCTTCTCTTGATCTTTGATTGACGCCTCTGTCATTACCCGGTGTGTCTGCAATCGCAGAATCTCTCACCACAGTCCGCAGAATTCGAAAAACGAAACCCTAAGACTCTTTGAAAAAACTGTGCGAGTTACTCAAAAAAGTGAACCCGTTTCCCGGTAGCAGGTATGTGAAAGAGTAACTGAACTGATTCTCAGTATTGACTGGGACTTTGTATAGTTGGCTTACACAACGGTCGCTTCAGGAGTCTGCAAAAGAAGATCGTCTTCGCATTGACTTCTTTTCTCTAGGCAACTACTGCAGCGTCGAAGCCACAGAGGGCCGAAGAATATCGATCTCTTTCACTGCTGCGGCTGCTTCCGCTGTCGTCGCTACAGCTTGTTCCCACATCCTGTCCGATGAGTCTCATTCACTACGGGACTACCGTCATTGAGCTCCGTGATTCCCGCTCGATAAGTACCAAGAGTCAAAGTTCGCAGGACGCTCTGAGCCGCCCCGGATTCTCGCTGAACCGCCAAAGCAACTACCCGCCCCCACCCCCTACCCACGACATACATTCTTGTGCGTAGCGAGTGTGGCTGAGAATGGTGACGCAAACGCTCACTTTCATTCCCATGAGCCAGGCCAGCGATTCGTGAATCTCCACACGCTCGGACACACAGACAGGATATCTCTAGTTCCGGTTGCGGATCAATATTAAGCCGTGAATCATCTGACTACTAGTGCCGAGTTCGGCTCGTACATAGAAGTGTGACAACGTTGGGGCAGACTACCGTGAGAACTCACCTTAGGAATTCGTTTCGTTGGGATACAGGTGATGAATTGTCCCCACACGAGGGTACCACATCCGAAGAAGATGCACCACAGCCATTGACTGAGAGAGAGTTCTTTCGTTTGGAAGAACACGCTTCCGTATTGGATAATAAAAAACTGGGCGATCGCCGTAATTATCAGTATACAGTAGAAGATCGGGTTGGTGAATAGGCCCTCGAAAATGTTCCGTTCTCCGTGGATTTTCCGAGCGTTGATCTCGTTGAAAAGCGTCATCATGACGAACGTATTGAAGATCATTGTGAAGTGCTCGGATACTCGAGTGCCCATGCCGTTTTCGAAGCCGAATATATTTGGCCCGAAGAAGAGCAGCATGAAAATCACGAACAGTTGGTAGATTGCGTGGCCGAGGATGTTTTTCATCATTGTTCGCGAAATCAGAGGCTTGGTTCGACCGTAGGGTTTTCTCAACAGTAACGACGGTGTCGGCAGCTCGGTAGCGAGAGCCAGCGAGGCAAGAGTGTCCATGATGAGGTTGACCCAGAGCATCTGTACGGCTTTGAGGGGACTGTCTTCGATTGCGCACGCACCCGTGAACGCAACGATGACGGCGACTGTGTTCACAGTCAGCTGGAACTGTAAGAACTTGGCAATTGAATCGTAAACGTTCCGTCCCCACATGACGGCCTTGACGATCGACGTGAAGTTGTCGTCGGTCAGAATGATATCCGACGCTTCTTTTGCGACGTCAGTGCCGGCGATGCCCATGGCGAAGCCGACATCGGCCTTCTTCAGCGCGGGTCCGTCGTTGGTCCCGTCTCCCGTTACTGCGACCACTTCCCGATTATCGCTGATCTTGCTGTCGATTATCCCTTTGACGAGGTTGTATTTGTCGGTCGGAGACGATCGTGCCAACACGCGCAGTCGGGGCCACACTTTGTCGATGAGATGCTGCTGAATGTCGCCGTTGGCGTCTCGAATTCTTCGATTGAATTCTTTTCCTTCCAACACGAGATAGTCGTCCGTCGGTTTGATGATACCGCACTTCAGGGCGATCGAGCGGGCAGTGTTCACATTGTCTCCGGTCACCATGCGCACAGTTATTCCTGCGCGCTGACACTTTCGAATAGCCTCGGGCACCTGCGGACAAACGGAGATTTAGGTACTTTCGAATAAAACTCGATCGATGGCTCGAGCGGGGGCCCCAAGATCGTCGCTGGCCCCAGGATTTGCGGAGGACGAGAGGTTTCTACTCACTTCTGGGCGGACTGGGTCTTCAATACCGAAAATGGCGACGGCAGTGAGTCCACTAACGATGTCGTCTTCATCGTCCCAGTTTGGCTCTTCGGTGAACAGAATTTGAGAACTATCAGTGCGTTCAACGCTCTCAGGGATGTAATCCTTGTAGCTGAGGCCGATGGTTCGCAGACCGTTGCTGGCCATCGGCTCGATGACTTCGTGTACGAGTCGATCTTGATCTTCAGGACTGAACTTCAATAGCTTGGCATTATTCCCGAGGATCGAGGTGCATTTCTTGAGGACGATTTCCGAAGCACCTTTCGTGTACACTCGGAATCCGCCGTTGGGCAGTCTCACAACGGTGCTCATCGATTTGCGCACCGAGTTGAACGTGTACACTTTGTACAGCTGCTCTTCGGGTAGGTCGTCGCGCACCTTCTGGTAGTCTTTGCCGATATCGTTAACGTATCCTAGAAGAGCACACTCTGTCTTGTTCCCGACCTGCTTCGGCTGCTCTCCCGGCTGCTCCGGTGGTATGATACGTGTTGTATACGCGCTGTTTACTGAAATACCGTTGACGATTTTATCAGCGGCTGCTGCTGGAAGGTCAGAGTACTTCGGAGTGGATTTGTGATGCACGCCTGCGACAAAACTCTGCACGCAGGTCATGCGATTTGTGGTGAGCGTTCCGGTCTTGTCGGAACAAATAGCGGTCGCGTTCCCCATGGTCTCGCAGGCGTCCAAATGACGAACTAGATTGTTGTCTTTCATCATTTTCTTCACCGAGTACGCGAGCGAGAGGGTGACGGCTAGCGGCAAACCCTCTGGTACGGCAACCACAAGAACGGTCACTCCTATGATGAAACAATTCACCATGTGTTGAGTATCACCAGTTGCCCAAGATCTCTGGTGAACGACGAACACCGTGATCAGATGTCGCACTACGAGAATCAGTACCGTCAAAACGGCGATCGCGGAACCTGTAAGCGACAGAGATATTCGGTGATAAGCTCAACGCTCCGAGTTGCTTCAAGGGGTACGAGGTCTATTTCGTACGGAAATCAAACACACTATTCGCACATCGAATTTAATAATAATCAGATTCGCGTGAGAGCACTTACCGACATATCCGATTTGAATCGCGAGCTTGGTAAGTTTCGCTTGGAGAACGGATTTCTCTTTCCGGTGAGCTTCCTCTTCGGAATCTCGCTCACGAACGGGCGAGGTCGCAGCATCCGATCGGTCCGCCATTGGCATGCCGATTTCGGCTTCCTCATCTAAAATCGTACGTACTGCGTTTTTGAAAAACCGCATTGCTTTTACAGGCAGCTCATATGATTGTTGACGAGCGAGTCGACCGAAAACAACACCCGTCGACTCCATCGTACTGTCACATCATGGAGTTATTCCGTCCATCGATCATTGATCAAAGACTGAATTGATGCGCGAATGGGACAGTCGTCCGGAGGAGGGGTGTGCATCGATCGATCACGGCTCAATCAACGAGTCCCCACTCGAGCTGTTTACACAACATTCAGCATGCGAAACGAAATCGAAAAAGGGATGCTCAAGCAAAAGTTTAGTCAGGCAAGCTCTTCAGAGACATTCAGGTGAAGGAGAGACTCGTACGACAGATGGTAGAGAGGAGGCGATATTGTCAAAGATTGACCGGCCCCGACACCGAATCCGATTGAACAACCCCACTGTGTCCGTCACCGTGTGGAAAATGTTGATAATTCGAGTCGTCGTGTGATTCTCGGCGGCTCCGACATATTCCGGGAGTTTATTGAGAATATTGATGGAAAACATTTTTTCCTTCGCATGTCATGAACCGCCGACAGAATGTCGAATGTGACTCAAGCTTGGAGCGAGATCTTCATTTCCACGGCAGAGAGTGAGCGTGTAAAGGAGCCCCACAGTTGGGGCCGAATAGGAAAATGGAAGGAGTTTGTTAGGAGAAAGTTTTGCTTTGCTTCGGCTTCAGAGACAGATCGGACCGGGAGGTCCACGAAGATTTGGACGTGGACAAAATACCGTGGCCTGAAGTCAGCGGAGACAATTCCTGATGATTTTCGCTGTCCGCGGTCTGAGCATTGTGACGCCGTTGGCCAACCGCTGAAATATCCACCGAACTTAACGAGCTGCCACTGTATTCGAGCACTGTTCTTTAAGGAAATTCCCGCGATGTTCATGTTGGTTTTGACGGTGAAACTGTGTACGGAGCTCGCGCGACTCGAGCGATGCTAGACGCATGGGTATCGGACGCAGAGTCGCACTTTCCTGTACCTCCCCCTCTTCAAAGCCATCGATGGGCCTCGAACATGCCGCTTCCCCCATCGTCGCAGAGATCACGATGAAAACTATCGGATGCTCTCTCGTCATGATGCTAATCGAGATGGGTTAGGCAGATCTCATTCCGAAAATCTTCGCTTGACAGCGCTGGGGAGACCCACTCGTTGATCAGCATCAGGTTACCGACAAAAGCAAGCGAGGTCTTGAAATTGCTGCAGTGCTGATTTATGCATCGAATGGAAAGCTTTCCGTGAATGTTCACCAGCGGAAATACGAAAAAAAAAGTTGACTTCGCATACCTCCTCTGACAAGACAAATACCAATCATATGGGCTGGGAACCATCGATGGTAGAATAATTGGGATAAAATGTTGCTGAACGTGAGAATGCGGATGAATGATCGTGAGAAAGAGCACACAATCATCCGATCATAAGGTGATACCAACGAATCGAGCATTGACAACACCAGCGTCGATCAAGACCAGAGAGACAACATCAAGATCAACCAGAACGACAAGTCGCAGAGGACATCGAAATTATTCTGAAGTGAGTTTCTACCTTGGGCAGCCGTTTGCGAACTTGTGTTTGCAGCACGAGGAGGATGCCTGGCTTCTGATTTGTTGAGTAAGATGAGATTATCAACGTACCACAACAGAGAGAGAGAGAAGGGCGGGAAACAGAACCAGTATTACAACTACGACTAGCGATTAGTAATATCTCGATCACTACTATAATTGAACTGATTCGAGTCGTCTCGGTCTTTCTGCGGCGTCTCAGGAAACGATCACAGTCTCTAGATGGCAATCAATCAATGAATAAATCAATCAATCAGCCGGTCGGTCTCTGATAGATTAATCAATGAATCTAAAAACCACTCAGTCAGTCGTTAGAGGAATAAACGGAACGGCACTTCAATAGAACAACCGATTAAACAAGCTATCAAGATCAATCATTCTGAATATCTATTCCGAGGGAATCAAACGAATCCATCAATTGATGGCCGCACCAGCGACGGCGAACAGAGGGAAGCATGCCGCCTTTTGCCGAGGGGAGAAACGCTATCACTACAGCTATCCTGCTCTTATTTAAATCAGGGGGAAAAGACGAGGGAACTAGAGGCGACTCTCTTCCGTCTGCTGGCTCTATGTGGAAGCAGTAAAATGCGATCAAACGAACGGAGATTAATCAAAATAATCAGCTTTTCTCAACCTCGACCGCTGCTACTCCCGAACTAGCGTTGATCCTTTCGGATTTCCTCCCGGGCGCTTACCCTTCTTCTTGGTTTTTTGTCTCCTTCCTTGCCACCCTCGTTGTCGGCAGCTCCGAGGAGCGTGAGGATGATACCCGCTTGAGAATTGACACCGACGGCCGTCACAAGAACTTTTCCTGATCCTTCCATCACATGCGTTCCAGAAAACAGCATTGGGTCAGAGTTTTCACCTTTTTTCACGTGATCGCTCTCGCCTGCGGGCCGGAGAGGATCACAGCGATGCGGTCAAGCAGGGCAATGCGACGGAAGCGGCATGAAAAAAAAAGGGGGAAACGCTTTTAATCCAAAAGGCTTTTCACGGCTCCGCTTCTGAGTTGTCGTCACAAAAGTATGATAGAGAGTGATATGTCGGTCGAGCTCGGGGGGGGGGGAAACCCACCGGTTAAAGTAGACTCATCGATTTTCAAATCATTCGACTGAATGATTATGCCGTCGGCTGGCAGAAGATCTCCATATTTCACTTGGCAAATGTCTCCGACGACGAGTTCTGCCACGCCGATCTGCAGCAATTCGGCTTTGCGTATAACAGCGAACGTGTGTTCCTGCTCAATGCGGTTTTGGAGACCTCGGAACTGTCTCTCTTTGGTGTAATCGTTGAAAGCTGTAACCAGGACAACAATGATAACCGAAACCAGGATCGCGACTCCTTCGATCCAGCTTGCTTCTGAGTCGCTTCCTTCTCCTTCTCCGGGAAAACTTTCTTCTTCCGGCTCTGCAGAGCCTTCTGGATTTATAAATGCCAGCACCAACGAGACAACAGCTGCCACCTGGAAACCACGAATGGAAGGTCTTGAGAACCGATGACCTACGGCATGCCGAGAATGTCGAGAGTTCCGGCGTATTCATCACATGAATTCGTTCGTATACGTCAAGCGAAAGGGAGAGGTTTCAACGTAGAAGGAGAAAGGTGGGCTTTCGCCTCTGAACACACCTGCAGAATGATAAGCGTCATATCTTGCAACGCTTCCCATACCAACTGGGCGAAGGTTTTTGGCGGTTTTGGTGGGATTGAGTTGGCGCCGTAGAACTTTTTGCGTGCGTCAAGGTCTCCTGCGTCACCCGAAAGGCCATCCGTAGGTGACGTGAGGAGTTTTCTGCGGGAGAAGAAAAAATATTTTTGTCCAACTCTACTGTTATCGGCGGAGATATGTTGCCGAAGAGCGAAGAGCACGCTGTGGATGACAAAACGTAATGACGAGAGACTGTGGGAGGAATGAACGACGGGAGCTGTTCGGTACTCACTTGCAGAGTTCTTGCACTCCGCCGTAATCATCGGCGATTCTCTGGATGGCTTCGTGACCACGAGTTTCCATCAACTCGCGGAGCTGTTGGACTGACACAGTGAACTGCGTCATGGTCGGTTCGGTCATTTTTTTTCTTGACTCGACTCAATTGGATTGAATTATATTATCTCGTAGCGGACGAGAATTTCTCTCGCTCCTCCTTGTTCTTCTTCGAAGTCTTCTTCTTCAGCACAATAAAACAAACGATCCTCAAGTGATCTCCAAACAATCATACAGTCAAACAATCAGACTGACAGATCAATCGGTCAGTCTTCCAATGGCAGTCTTGTTAGGGCAGAGCTCCCTTGGTCAGGGATACTATCGAGGAGGAGAACGGAGCAGGAAAGCAGTCGTTGGGCCGTTTTCACGATAGTTAGACGAGAGTCACAGGTTTCGAGCCCTTCGCTTCGCCTTCAACCATCGACGACAACCTCGTAGACCACTTTGCCTGCAACTAAAAGAGGAAATTCCCGTCAGAACGTTATCGTACCGTCTCGAGCTTCGTCATGGAAGCGTCCCTAGTCCGATTAAATATTTCTACAGTCTCAGAACTCAGGAGGTCGTCCCGGATCTCGAAAGATCCGCAGATGCCGGAAAACACGGAGCGGTTTCCTTGATTGAACCACCTATGAGCACATGGCCCCGATGTCACAACGCCACCGGCGTTCTCCGTGAGCGCCCGCTCAATCGTCGAGGCTCAGCGCTGCCTTCGTGTTGAGCTCATCAGCGGAAGACGTGTATCGTTGCTCCCCCGCTCACTGGCGTTCGCGGAGAGAGATGTTCCCGTCCTTCATCTCCGATACAGGATAGGAAGATAACGATTATGTTCGGACCTCGATCCGAGAGAGAGATTTAACGAGCTCGAAGCAAACTCCAATTACCTTCGGAGAGGATAGCAGGCACAAATCAGACGGCGGAGAACAAAAATCTCCGCAAGGAGAATCGAATAATCGCTATTTCTGAATTCCAGTATCTATGTAGCTCCACATCAAAGTCTTCCTGATGAGGTCGGAATGAGAACTTCCCTTGCCTCCGGGACACTTCGCATGAGGATTCCCTGAAATCACGATCGAGGACGACCGACAAGCCGAGTTCGACGAATGCTCTCGAAACCACGGGTTTTGCATATCTTGTGAATAACCTATTCGCGGGCTGAGCTATTCAGCGAGCTCGGCTCGAGCGCTGGGTCGTCTGGCATCAGATGGAACCGAGTTCAGAATGACCGACACCAGCATCTCAGCAGACTGCAGCTTCGGGGAAATGTCCACCAGCCTTCCTCCAGACTAAAGACTTCTAGCAACGGCCGCTGCTGTTCTTGGCAGCTGAGCGATCTTTACGAAGAGGAGACTCTCACGCGTTCGCCGCCGGGTTTGCGTCCGGAATCTCTCTGTCTCATCAGAGCCACCGCGGCAGCAGCGAAGGTCTGGACCGCATCATGGCAGAGGCGTAAATGGCGCTTTGAGCCGATGAATTAAGTTGTTGTCGGCGAGCTTCAGGGTAAAATAATATTCTCCCTCCCGCGTCGAGAGGTCTCCCCATGAGGGTTTGGAAACAATACATGGTATCGCTTGACAGCAGACGTTCTAGGGGGATTCCTTCGCCTGTAGACTTGCGGGTTCCGTCTTCGGGGCACAATCGGACCGGGGGCTAACTCGACGGTGGGAGAAATCTCGGAATGACTTCAGTAGAAGAAACTCACCGGAGTGATTGTTAAACAAGGTGAGTTGGCAGGCTGTCGGGGGCAGGAACGATTGAGACGACATACGGGTGACCTGCGAAGAAGAATGAACCGTGAATATCTCTTGCATGTTTTTATTATCATTTTCTCAACGAACGTTCAGATGCTAGACCTTGCCGATAGTATGACAACGAATCCCATGATGAGCTATAAACAACCAGCCAACAGTATTTGACCATGAGCTACAGATAGCGATTCTTTGCACGCCGTGGCAAGTTCGGGACGAGTCACGGGAGCGAATTACAACGGCTTGTACATGTATTTCTCCTCGTTCTGAAATAATGTCAGTGGGAAACACGAGATCGTGGGAGGGGTGGGCGGATCGCAGACTGCTAGCGAACGCCGAAACTCCTGAGCAAGAGATGCGACGACGTTGCTTGAATTACCCCGAAAAGCCACACAGAAATTAAAAGTGCGAACTTTTCGAGAGCACTCGGCGTGCATTGTGCCGTGCCTGAGGCTATGACCAATCTGTCACGGCAGAAGGATGCGACCAGGAAGCTGTCGGCTGTCGTCAATCAGAATCACCGTAGTCTCGGGATGAAAAAGCAGGAGCATCGGAATCGGAGAGCTTGCCCTAACAGGCCAAGACACGCGCCGGGCTCGCGACCCAGAACGGACGGAGTCAGAGCCGCGACAACCGGGTCAGAAACACGATTCATAAGGCCCTCGATTTGTCCCAGGAGAGTCTCGGAGGCCACCCATGTGACGCGCGGATATTGACGGATAATTCATTTGCCCAAGTCCCGACGACGCGCATCCTTCTCGTCATCGGAGATGAGTGTTCCCCTGCCACCCCCCCCCCCCCGTTCTGCGCATCCACATCGAGCTGTAGACACCGCATCAGCGCAGAATATCGATTCGACGATCCTTTTCCCGAAGCTACGGATTAAACCCAGTCTGCGGAGACACCTCCCCGTCGGTTTTATGAACGACAGCCCAATACCAGAGGGGCCAGGCCGCGCTTCCTCCCGGGCTCCCTGTTCTCCGAATTCGGGCGCACATCGGCTTTTTTTTCTGCGTTCTCCTATCTCGCTCCGGAGGATTCCCACCGGGAGATGCCGATTGTTTATTGTTTGCCCGGAAAATTGTCTGCGAACCGCGAATAGCAAAAATAAGAAGTTTTTCCACAAGAAGGCCGCATTTCGCCTCCATCGATGCAAGGGCAAGTGTTAAAGCGCGCGTGCGTGCGTGCCGGCGTGTGGAGCCTCCGGTCCGTCCGACCGTCCGTCCGTTCGTCCTTCCGCCCATGGGTCGGACGAATAGGGCGCCCTTTCTCTGCAGTGGGGAGAAGAGGGAATCGCTCATGAGCGCGGTGTTCGACGTGGTCTCCAGACGGCGCCACCTCTTCCAGAGGTTCCTCGCTCGAATCAGGTTGCCCCGATCTGAGGGAGCTGATTTTATACAACCGACCAATATACATACAGTCTCGGACACCATTTATGTGACTCGGGAGGCAGGAACCGACGCGCGAATATTCTGCCACGCCACATGAATCGACAAGTCCCCTCAGCCTCCTCTTTGGGCACGGCTCTTGGCCGATGGCTCGATCGAATCGACGGCGTTCCTTGCTCCCGGCAACGTACTCGCCGACATCGCTGAAGACGGAAAGAGCCGGGAAAGAAGCTCGTCATCGAGCATGAGATACCGTCGAAGATCCTGCCGACCGTTGCACGGCGAATCGGAGACCTCGTGATTCCGGGCGAGCCTGATAACGGAACTTGTCCTTATCTCTTAGAGAAACGGAGTAAAGGTCAGCAGGCGCATTTTGCTGCGGCTCCTCCCGGGCGACCGCGGGCGCTGCTGACATGTGCGTTCGGATATTGCTGGCTCAATATTGTAGCCCGAGGCGTCACAACAGGAGGGCCAAGAGCCCGACGGACTGAACGATGAACGGACGGACGGACTAGCTGACTAGCCGTCTGACTGTCGGTGTACTTGGACGGCGGGCTGGCTATCAATGCCTCTAATAACTTCCGATTCTCTTGTGCGTTTTGCTCCTTCTGCAGCCCTGTACACCAATGTGGATTCGTCTTCTGCTCGCAGCCTTGGAGTCGTCGAGCCAGACCAGGCCGGAGCCAAAAAATCCACTCTCCCCCCCCTGGCAACTGGGCCTGCCTGCCAGCCAGCCCGTCGACCGTCCAGCCGGCCGGCCGGTCGGTCGTCCACCCGACCACCCGCTCGCCTGATACACCGAAAGAGGAGAGATAAGAAAAGCGTTGCTGGAAGCCTTCCCGGAGAAGTTTGCAGCCCGACCGCCACTATCGTCTACGCTGAGGCCCACGACAACGACGACGACAAAAACAACAACAACAAGAACGAGAACGACACCAGGACTTCCAGCAACTGTAATCGTAGCAGTTATAACAGGAAGACCTTGCGTGTGAGGTCGGATTAGGACTTTGTTTGTCAGCAGCGCTACACCGATGGCCATGTCACAAGCATGACCGAGAAGCGAAGGGGACAAGGAATATCATCATCAGGGTTTCACTCGATCTCCTCTGCCACGGTTGCCATCGCGATGGAGTCGAAGATCACTGCTGGAGGCCCCATTTGGGCGATAAGCTTCGCATCCATCTCGGACTCATGCCAGATGTCTCCCTTCCCAGCCGAGCAACGTTCCCTCAGATCCTCGGATCTTCACTTAGAAACGTTGTCTCAGATCTTCTCGACTAGATCATTGTTGGCTTGGTCCCGGTGAATACGAGTGGCGTGATTCCCAACGAGTCCCAACACGGACGTCGAGGAAGATGATCATATGTTAAGATACTCGACAAAGCATTTCTTACGACATTCTGCCCAGAGCATCGTCGATTGTTGATGGTACTCGGAGGGTTGGAAGAAGGGGGAGGGCACCGATCGGTTCCCCGTGGAACCGGTAGCTCTCCTGAAATCTTCAATTCATCGATTTCGGAACGCTTCACCGGAAACAATGCGAATGCGAAGCAGACGTCAATGCTGCTGGCGAACATCCTCGCTTACAAAAGGCTGTCTCATTGGATTCCCGTTCATTTCGTTCCCTTGGCTCTTCCGCGTAAGATCATGAGGAATTTACCTCCGCCCAGACGGACAGCCCGGAGGGAACTCGTTCGCGCAGCCTCTGTCGCGGAAATCATTCACAACGGGACGGAGAGAGATCGAGCACGGCAGCCGAGGCGGCACTAGCAGGGCTCGGTGTGGGCAAGCCGACTTCTCTGGTCTCTCTCGATCGGGACCCGTGGCCGAATGAATCTCCGGAGCGCGCTTCCTCCCGAGCCTTCGAAAACGATTGGCAGAGCTCGCGATCGGCGTCAAATGCCTAATTGTTTTCACAGCGAGCGATACTTCCGCAGCG